ACTTTACCACCTTGAATAAACCTGACATTTTTTTCAAGAAAATTATTTCTTACACCCTTGATCAAATGAGGGGAATCAAAAATTGGGAAAACTCGTATGTCATCAACCTCGAAGGCTAAGCTTTTGTATTCTTTGTTTTGTTGCATATATTTTTCCTTAGTTTCAATGTACAAACTATTAATTGCACTCATATTTGGTCCTCCCTGGTCACAAATGGTTGCAACTACCTTTAATCCGCATGAATGAATTTTTTTAATCACATCCTTAATTAAAGTTTTTAATATTTCTTTTTTTGTTGCACCTTGACAAAATGTAAAGCATAAAGGTTGCTTAAATTTAGCTTTTATACCTTTTATCATAAAGACCAAAGCATGGTCTGCTATTTTTATAGGTTTACCACTTTCGGGGTACTCTAACCCCATAATTTGATCCCAGATATTTGCATAATGCATTCCTGGGGTTAGTGCAACTTCATCAAATATTAATGTGCACAATTTTCTTTCTTCCGGTAATTTCTTTACCCTTCTTTTTAAGTTTTCTAGGATGATGTTATTCATCCCTGGTTCGATGGGAATTAAATTTAAAACTTGTTGCAAGCTTCTTTTTGATGGTAAGACAAATATTCTCTGCATAAAATTATACGCCTTTGGACTTTGCTTATAAAGAGATAAGGCCAATATTTTTTCCTCAATAGAAAATCTTCTTCCTCTAGGTTTTTTAGTATGCTGTTGTTGCATTTTTGTAAATAAAAATGAAGGCTCCGGAAATCGCTCAATAACATGCAAAAATTTTTGAGAATTTCGTTCAGCTTTTTTTATCATCTGTTTAAAAGTTTTACATTTTAATCGTTCTTTTAGGAGCTTTATTTTGAGCTTTAATATCTCGCTTGGCAATTTAATTATTCCTGAGAAAAAAAAATATAACTATTAGATATAAATGTTACTAGTCATAAGATTAAGTTTGCAAACAGTGACAAAAAGCAAGTGTGTGTGCATTGAAATTCAAAGAAATCCAGAATTATTACTTTATTCAACTTAGGCTTGTTTTAATCTTTTATAAAAAAATTTAAATCTACAATCAATTCAATAATTTACATCTGTTCAGAGAGGACCCAACAAGATTTCTTTTCGGAATCTTTTTGGAATATAAGGAGGTCCTTGCCATGTGCTCAAGCTTTCTTACTAACAAAAAGTTGGTAGTTCAGCCGTCAAAACGTAACAAACTTTCTTTCGCTTTTATAAAAGAATATCTAATCTATCTCTGATATTTTTTATCATTATTAAAAAATTACAAAATTTAATTAGACACATCATATAAGACTAAATAATCTTTCATCCCTGTACAGCCCATCTCACATAGTTGGTCAATCATATCATTTCTTTACTTTAACATTTAGGTGTTCCCCTCACTCATATCCCTCCAATAGCAGTCTGTTGAATTTACTCACTAATCAATAATTTAACTGCTATACTATGAGTTATTTTCTTTGGCCATATACATCACAAGATTAATATTATACTTGTCAATTAAAAGTTCCAAATCAAGCCTGAGAAACAGTTTATATTTTGATATAACAAACTATTTTAATGTTCAGTTCCTCTTTTAACTGCCTTACATAATTGTTAAATATTTCATTTACCTTTCTTTCCAAATACTTTTTTTGCTCCACATGAGAATGAAGGTATTTGTACAGAAATAACATCAGGAACAGTTTGATGTTCCAGGCCAGTAACAGGTATACTCCCATCATTGACAACTGAAATTAATATAAAAGTATTCAATTAAAGAGATAAATGCCATTAATGTCCTTATACTAGAATAAAAACAATGTACTTGTGGCCGAATTGGCGGCCAAATAAAAAAAAATCAATACATAACAGATTATAGTGCACAAGAATATGTGACCTAAGTGCACTCCCTCTTCCTTCTCAGTTATAGCTCAATGCGGATAATGGATATATGACACAACGAGATAAGGCACAGAGACAGTTAATTACATTAAAACCGCCTCATAGTATTGCATTGATTGAATGATAAAAAATTCCATATATCTCAACAGATTATCTCGGTGTTAATCTAGAAATTTAAGAAATGAATTTCCTTTACTCATACAGGCAGCATAGCAAGCAACTCATAAGCACATCTGCTGCCATTTTATTAACTGACAAATAAAACTTGTCCAATATTACCACCATATTAACCTTTGTCTCACATAATTTTATACTTTAATAAACACTGAAATACAGAAATACTTACATAAATTTAAAGTAGGAATGCTATTGGCTGTAAGTCTATTACCAGAAGTATGGAAGTGTCCTTCAAAATGCCTTCTACAAAGACGAACATTCCTATGTATATAATCATTGCCCTTATTTTTCAGATCTTCACCAAGGACAGATTTCCATTTATTGAATCTATCCTCGTGAGGGTAACTTGGTGATGGAAATGAGTGCAGTGGTCCTAAAATAAAAATTCATTGCAATAATTATTGAAATAAGAATTAAAGGTGTTAGAGCAATAACATCTTCGTTGGCCTGTGGCCATTGGCCAGCTTGGCAAAGGAGGTATCACAGTTAATCACAAAACAAGCCAGAAGTAAGAGTTGTGCTTCCTTGTTTTGCCTAGTGTGTTATGTAGCCAAGGGCCATCTTTAAAGATTGAAGTAACGCAATTGCAACCCTTCGGTTTGCGGTTGATCATGCGCAGTAGTTATCATTTAACACCATCTAAAAGAGCCCAACAAACAAAAGTTCGTTTTCAGTCTGAGATTATGCTTTAAGTTTTTCGATAGCCAATATTCATAGTAAGTGTAACAAATAGAAGAAGAAATAAGTAGGATAAGTAGGATATACAAACTTAGAACTTACCTTTAAATTCACATGCAAAATAACACTTTCTTTGCATGTTTGATGCTGTTAGTCACCTTTCAACAAAGCCAAACCGTTGAACAATCGGAAATCAAGAAGTCAGAGCGCCAAGGTCAATAATAAAAGCAAAGATCAGTCCAGAGTCAATAGCGGGGTCAATTCGTAAAGGCAAATATCAAATAGTCCAAAGAAAGCACAAGTATTCCGAAAAAGCAAAAATTGATCCAACACAACAGCGCACCGTCAAGTTTTGAAAACTTGTGTTGATTTTTATAATGTAACTGTCACTTGTATTACCAGCCTGCCTAAAAAATTATTACCATTTATAACTATTCAATTTTAAACTTTTACTTAACTTTTAATTATTCAGATTTAAACTCATATATATACTTATTTATACCTGTTTAATTACAGCATTGTCTAGAAATTATTTTTCATAATAATCGTATTTATTTATTAGTAACAACAGTGATTTAATCTATCATTTCTTTGATTTTTTTTATTATGGCAATACTTTCGTTGTCACTGGCCTAACTGTCTCCATCTATCTCAAACTAAGTAACAATTACTAATTTGCTTCGTAAATGTGACCTATAGATGGCCCTACTTTCCATACATTAATTTTTGTTCATACTTTTGTATTGAAGTTTCACCCCCCTGGCTTACGCGTCACGCACGCTCAACGACGCAGAGAAAAACTACTCGCAGATACACCGCGAGGCGTTGGCGATTATATTTGCCGTAAATAAGTTTCATCAATACTTATACGGTCGGCATTTTACATTGCGTACCGACCATAAACCGCTAGTGTCAATTTTTGGGCCAAATACTGGTATACCTACTATGGTAGCGAGTCGCATGCAGCGGTGGGCAATTATTTTAGCGGCTTATTCGTTTGATATTCAGTACATACGTACGGAGATAAATGGAGCGGACGGTCTGTCGCGTTTACCGCTGGCGTCTAGTACGTTGATTCGTACGGCGCCAGAGCAAACTTATTTACATTTCGTTCAGCAAGCTTTGTGTTTAGACTATAATGTAATTAAAAATCAAACGGCTCGGGATCCGATTCTCTCGAAGGTGATTAGCTATATTCGGGACGGTTGGCCTAGGGAATGTGATATTAAAAGTTTACAACCTTTTTTTAATCGAAGAAAGGAGTTGTATGAAGAATTAGGCTGTGTAATGTGGGGGCACAGATTAGTAGTCCCGGAGGCTTGTAAAGAAGCAGTTTTACTCATGATTCACGAACCCCATATGGGGATTGTCAAGTCTAAGTCTATAGCCCGCAGCTATGTGTGGTGGGCCGGTGTAGACGAGGCGGTGGAGCGTATTTGCCGGGAGTGCGAGATATGCGCGGCTCAGGCGGATGCTCCGCCAAAGCAGGCGCCTCGTTTGTGGCAATGGCCCAATCGCCCTTGGTCCAGGCTGCATTTAGATTTTATGGGGCCAATTTTTGGAAAGACGTATTTAGTAGTAGTCGATGCGACGTCAAAATGGCTTGAGATATATCAAGTATCGAGTACGGCTGCCACAGGAGTAATAGATAAGTTAAGGGAGCTTTTCAGTCGTTGGGGACTACCTAAGCAGATCGTAACGGATAACGGTCCTCCGTTTTCAAGTACAGAATTCTCTGACTTTATTTGCAATCACGCCATCGATCATATTTTCACGGCTCCTTATCACCCCGCGTCGAACGGTCTAGCTGAGAACGCTGTGAAGACTTTGAAACGTGTTATAAAGAAAGCGGTCCAGGAAAGACAAAATGTGGATAGGGCACTTCATACGTTTTTATTATATTATAGGAACACGGAACATTCAACCACTGGCGAAAGCCCTGCTATTTTACTGTTAGGTAGGCGGCTTCGCACGAAACTCGATATCTTAAAACCGGATAGGGAGAAAAGGGTCTATAAGGTTCAACAACATCAGAAAGAATTAGCAAAAGGAGGAGACCGAAAGTTGAATCCTTCAGAAGATGTTTGGTATAGGCAATACTTAAAAGGGGAAAAGTGGAGCAGTGGTCAAGTAATAGATACTTTGGGTCCTAACAACTATACAATAAGAGGTAAGGGTGGCGAAATAATTCACAGGCATATCGACCAATTAAAGAGGAGATCTTTAAGAAAATCTATGACATGTCCTTACAATGATCTTGATTCGGATAGTAGCACAAATTCCACCAACGACCCAACGGTAAAGCGGGATATAGAATTGGCTCAGTCGGGTCAGCCGGTGACTCATGTCGACCCAGGGGCAATAGAAGGTTCGGAGATTGGCAGCAACCAACGGGAGTTAGCAAGGGAGACCGTCAGCGAAAACGTGGGTTCTCCGGCGTACCAGGACGCCTTGCCAAACGTCGTACCGCCCTCAGAACCTCGCACACGTCCTATTAGACAATGCAGGCTTAAAAAAACTTGTTATAGATTAAGTTGAACAGAAAATAAAATGTAAAATAGGAAGTTAAAAATGTAAGTTAATTAGATTTAAGTATACTAGGATAATGAGTAGGTGTGGAGGAGTATAATGTAAGGTAGTAGGTAAAGATTTATTTTATGGGTGGCGGGTAAATGGACATACGTGTTTTGTCATTGGTGAATAAACAGTTACAGATACTAGCCGCGTTTCCTTGTGTTCTCTCTAATTTCATATACATTACACTATTCAATCAGGTTCGTTTAAATCGGCTCAATTTCAGTGAGAACCCTCCTGTGCTTTAGTTGCGGTAAGCCTGGCCATATCGCAGTCAGCGCTACAATCGACCGCAGCCGAGGTAACGGCGCTGCGAATGTGAAGAGATGCAGGAGGGTCTTTGAGTATATTAGATTATAAAGGTGGGTTCAGACTTTATACCTAGTTCAAGCCTACTTCAAGTGTCAATAGCCTAAGTTAGTTTGCAGCCCAATTTTGTTGCACCGATAATCCTGATTAGTCAAACAATAATTTATAGTATATTGTATATAGTTCCCCGTTCTTTTTTCTGTTCTGTAAGTTTCTACCTCGTAGTCCCGAAATGTCTCTTACTATATCTATCCAGCGAGTTAAGGTGGTTTGTAGGAAAACTTTCATATCGATGTTGTAAAAGCTCGCGAAAACACTTTGGTTTCTGGGATAATAATATTCAATATGTTAAGAAACTCGTGGATCGCTGTATTACTTATAATGTTGTGACAATCCTATTTAAACATTACACAAACATGAGTTGCTTTTAGCAAACGATCTATTTGGGTATATGTTCTATATTGTTTAAATGCAAATGAGTATATTTTCGGATCTAATTTTGCTCGAATTTTCTTCAGTGCTGCTCTGGCAAAATGTTGAGGGTTGATATTAATGTCGATTTGCATCAACAAATATAGCCTCTTTTAAGCAAGAACGAGTGGTTAAGTCAGTGTGAGTATTAATGCCGAATCTAAGTAGGTACCAAGAAAACCCCACAGACTGTAAACGTAAAATTGTTAAAGAAAAAATTTAGTTCAAAAATTGTAATGAAGACAAAATATTTTATTGTTTAATTTAAGCTTTAATTTTTTTTATTTTTTCATAAGAGATGGGTTTTCAATTAAATGGTAGGAGCGGTACTTTACTTTACTTTGAAAGCTTCAAAGGGGCCTTTTTTGGTCAACTGCTAATTTAAATAAAAGAAAGAAAATGCCGGGTGTTTTTAACTAGTGCGGCGTTCCACTGAAGCAGTCAACTTGAGACTCTCAACTGAAAAGAACCCGGTGAATAAATAATGTGTACGTTTCCGTAGCCAACGGATATTTCCAAGGCAGTTGTTTCATGTTGTGAAATAGGTGCTATTATAAAAGCTGATGAAAGTTTTGAATTGCTACGCTAACAAAAACTGTTTTAACGAGATGTTTACATGTTTTATGCATTTGTTTTAATTATTTTTAATAAAGGTAAATGTGTTTTTGATACTCATTATCAAGAGATTGTCAAAATTATCAAATTAGAATTAGTAGACAAATATTAGATAAAGGACGTTGAGATTTTCGTCGGTGTGGCAATCAGCCGCTTAGCTTAGTGGCTAGAGCGTCAGGGCGCGAATTCCGAAGACGTGGATCCGATTCCCACAGAGGTGGGAAAGTTTTCCGTTTCTTTTTTCTACAAATTTCAATGTTTAATCTTAATTGCAGAGATTAGCATTATAAAAATTTAAATCACTACGATATGTCCCTGATGAAGTGGGCTAGACTCACTCCATCATGGAGATGGTATACAATATTGACAGTAGCGTTCTTGGGACGGCTTTTATTAGTTAGACGAAGGGCTTGGTCTCTTCCTATGTCATAACGGTTCAAAAAGACCACAGGCAACAGTTGGTTCCACAGAGTGGTTGTGCGAAGCAGAAAATGCCTTAAAATCGCGCTGTTATGGAACGCTGGTCATTGGAGTGGTGTGGATAAAATTTCTGCTTTTGGCGCTGTCCGATGGTGAAATTCAGCGGCCGAGATCGATCCAAACAATTCCTCGGAATACTCCCCATGATAAATGCGGTAGATGATCCAGGGTGATCCAACATCTCTACGCAGATCCAGAGTACAAAGCACAGCCTAAATGGTAAACGACCTGAGTGTGGACACCCAGAAAGGGGTTCTCCACCATGGGCTACAGTTACGGTACCCTACTGGGGCAGTTACACCGAATTAAGCACTGCACAGTGTTTGTAGACCTTTTTGTTACGATAGTGAAACCAAGCAATAATTATCCTATGCTATATGCTACATATATCAGGGGTATAAGATATTAGAGTATCTTATCATATCTTAGAGCATAGTATTGTATTTTCAATCTAAATTTATTTTATGGCATAAATTGATCACATTACTTAATGTAACTTTTAACGGTTTACAAATTATCTTTAACTATACTTATTTGCCGTACTTTTATGCACGCAGAACGCATGCAAGATCACAGATATATGTCGCTCTGCGGTGCACAGTCATGGCCTATATCCCGATGGAAATAGTTTCTCTTTAAAAAACGTTCATTTCATGATTTTTCTCTCTTGAATTTTTCTCATTAATCTTTCCAGAGAACTCGTAATCTCTATATTTATATGTAGTGTGAAGCAGCGAATGAAATGCATATTTTCTTCGAGTATAATATAATATATTTATTCGAATTATTCGTGACAATTAATGACAAAGTTATGATTATTCCACTAAACATTATATTGAGCGTACAAGTTTTCTCAATTCCTACATCAGCCAAGCTAGCCAGACCCTCAGCATGAACTAACGCACACTGAGAGTTTCGTCGATTATTTACATTACATCAAAAAACGCTTAACGAAACTTAATTATAACTACATTCAAAATATTCTACGTACACATAGTGTAACCGTGAACCAAGTTTTAACATTTGATTTAACTTAAATAATACAATCCGATTAAACCTGCTCTGAATTAGTTGTTCCGTTTTACAACAGTTATGATGTTGTCTATGTTACATTGATCAAACATTATCTTACAATAAAAGTGTGGTTTAAGTAATCATTTAAAAAATAATGATCCTCATACAATTGCGACCTAACACGTGTGATATTTAAAATGTTATAAAATCACAATGTAAAATTTCTTCTCCTTGGCCTTATAATCTTCATCTACGGATATTCTAGTTTCTAAAAAATATTATCGATTACTTAAAATTAATGACTATTCAGTCGGTTTCCTTACAATCTAGAACAAGTATTCCATCCATTTAACTGAATGTTACTTTATATTAATTATATGAAGTAACATACAGTTAGCAAAATTTTTATTATCGTGCTTAGAAAATTATTTACTTATGCAATATTTGTATGCTTTTTGTAAATACTACGGGAACAAAATTATTGAATAAATTGTGTGCTGTATTAAAATAAATTTCCTCTTCGCAAATGAATAGGGACTGGCAATGAAGTAATTGTGTTTGGAGTGAGCATAAAAAAAGTATATGTTTTAATTCTAAGTAAAGATATAGAGAAAATTATATAACGCGTTTTAATCATAGGTCTAAGTAATCAACACATATTGAGATATATTGAACAGCGCGGGAAGTATTAATTAAGAATATGAATAAAAAATGAACTCTTTATATAATTATATTTATTGCCAATCAGATTATTTTTTGTTTACATTCATTCTCTTCTTATTTTTGAATTAGCCTCATGTATTTAAATAAGTGTAATCATAGGTGGGGACAATTGTTATATCCTCAAGAAAATTTTGATGCAACTTATGATGCACGGAAATGATTGGTTAATTGCTACGTTTGTCATAGAAATAATATACGATAAACTCAGTTCCCACGATTTCAAAGTGGTACTTAAAGTATGAATTTATATGTGTCTGTTTTCACAATTTGGTGAAAAAACTATTTATATTGTATTGTTCATTTAAAAATTAAATAAATAAACAATAATAATATGTTTTTCTAGAAATACTGGCCATGGATTGTGAAAAATCAAAATAGGGCCTAAATTTTGTAACATCCTAGAGCACCTTTCATTTTTATCAAAGAAAAAATAGTTATATAATGATGGTGTTCAAGCACGTGTGCTATGGTGACTTTAAAGTTATTTTTAAAAATTATATTCAAATCAAACTAGTTTTATAAAGGGTGTATAAGCATATATTAATTATTAATAGTTTATTTATAAATGTAAGAATATGCCATGTAAATAAAATAGGTATAGTCATATAAAAGAATGAAATAAGTGAAGTCGAAAACACAATTTTTGTATACAATTCAAGTTAAAATAAAGGATGACAAAGGTGAATTAGAAAAAATTAAAGAAACAGTATTAAGCTCCTAGGGCTATTCAATAACTGCACTTTAATAATATTTTGCCGGTTGACATAAGTCGTAACAATTACACACACATTTAAAAGCTTAAAAACCTTAAAACACATAGCGAGCTAATAATGTTTACGAAATACAAATATCTAAACGTCCTCATATTTAATTTATAAAATCCATTGATACACTTTACACACTACATTAACTTCCGTGATTAATTAACTGTGCAATCCAATAATTTACGAATCCGAAATACCACGCAAGTTAAACTATGTGCCAATGCGCCTCAATTTCACTTTATTATCTGTATTCGACCTTTTCATTTCGTCGACGTCCTTGATGGGGTATGTTTTAATTTAAAATCAGGCAGACATTTAAATAATATCCCTTTTTTGCTTCAGAAACTTACTCATAAATAAGTTTTTGAATTACTGTAAAACTAGGGAAATCATTGATGTGAAAATGTCAAACTATAATTTCGTATAAGTTTGAGAGTTCGCAGCTAAGAGACGATGCGTTTACTATTGCTTCTTGAATCGAATGGAACAGTCACTCGACTATAATAATATTTTTTTACGAAACATTTTGGATACGCACTTTTAAAATTGTCGTACTCGATTTATTTACTTTGTGTAAAGGTAGGTACTTACAAATTGCCAAAAAATTTATCAAAATTCTACAATTACTCATGCATCGTTGTTTCACAAACTTGAATTCTAGCCTACGACCATGGTTTTTTTTAAATTTATCCAATTGACGCATTTATGTGAAAGACTTTTGGTCCTATAACTCACTTTCCTGTATTACATTTTACAGTGCCATATCACAATGAAAATGAATTAAATCAAGCGGGGTCTTCTTTACAAAAATACAAAAGTAATCGTTGGTATGTAACTCGCGCTCGAGGTCTTGTTTTAAAACCTATTGTAATTACGTCCCTCCCAAAGTCTATAGAACGGTGAAGGCACGGTGATGATGTGTATTGCACTTACAATATGGGATTACAAGTCCATACAGACAGTGAGAAGAAACTCTAAAGGTTTACAAAACACGTTCTAAACTATATACTTGTCACGTCGTGGAAAGCGTTTCAAGGCACATACTTTTAGAAACAATAGTCACGTGGTACATCGTAGACAGATGTACCACGCGTGAGTAAGGTTACATGTGTTGAAATTAAAGAGACCGCTAGAAGCGTATTCAATTATTAATCCAATATATAAGTTAGCTCTAGTCAAATCCGCTCAGTTCAACCGTTACACTCTCTTCTACTAATGCGGCGGTCTAAAACACGAGGAGCGGCAACACGCACACAACTATCCCTGGTCTACTCACTGTCGCACACACCGCCGTTGGGCACGTACGCTGTCCCGTTGGTTTTCTCGTGCGCGCGGCGGCTCGGCGGCTCTGGTCAGGGAACCGGCCGTCTGCCGTCGCACGGGAGGCAGCCGCCGCGGCAGAGGTGGCGCGCCGCGTGCAGGAAGGGGGCTGCGCGCGGCGGCGGCAGCACGGGCGACAGCGAGCCCGCGCCCGACGCGCTGTCGGCCGCGGGGGGCGGGCGCTACACGTGCGTGCACGCGCCCGCCGCCACGGGTCAGCCGCCCGCCAGCGCGTCCTCCGGCTCCGGCGACCAGCAGTTGTCCGACAGCCAGCAGCCCACCACCACGGTGACGAAGCCGATGAGCAGCGCCAGCACTATGTACACCTCCGCGTTGCCTGTTCGCCGGCCGGTCGGCGGGGTGTTTTGATCAAGTTAACAATGACTTAAAAACATAATGTCTATTAGAAAATGACGTTTGAAACATGATTGAATATATATTTTTATAATAATACATATTTAATGTCGGTAACTCTAGTTCTTCTCCGGATCTCCTCATTTCTGATTCGATCTCGTAGAGAAACCCCAAGTATTACCCGCATGATTACATTACGTGTAAGCCGCTACTGACCGGTCGAAGTGGAAGTCAATGGGGGAGGCCTATGTTCAGTAGTGGACGTCCTACGGCTGATATGATGATGATGACATATTTAATTTGTTATATTAATCTATCAAGTTCAACGCAATATTAAATAAGAAACAATTATCTGTCACACAAATAGTTGTCCTGTATGGGAATCGTTCCCACGACCCCGGACGCCGAAGCCAATACTTTGGCAACTGCGCCACGGAGTCATATTTGTAAATAATACGAAAAAGAGTTATTTTCGAGCAAAAACACTTTTACTACAAATACACCGAACTTAACGAACGCGATAAGCATACGAGGAAGCGTACGAGTACCACCGCGAAAGTCGAATTTACGGAAGTCAGGATATATTATGTTCGCTTATGCCACATACATACAAATTATTAACTTGAGTAAGTCAAGATAGCGTTAGTTGAGGTATTATTGTACTTCATTTAGCAATCATAATTTACTGAATTCAGTTCATTGCTATGTTATTACATAAGAATTGTATCTATACAACTTGGTGTTACAACCGCAACCATAATTGGACACACTTCTATTGCTACTTGCCAATAATCATAAAAAATATAAACGTTAAAAAATACATAATAAACTAAACTAATTAAATAAAAAAGAAACAAAATTTGTTACATCCTATACAACTGACTGATTCATACATTCAGAGACTTTTTCATTCGTTGTCACAACGTCGCATTACAAGTCTTCTTCTAGACCTTTACAAATGAACTTTACATTACAGTTTTTACGTACGGGTATTCTAAAAAATTTGGTGTTGGAAAATAAAAGTAATAACATTGACATTTAAAGAAAGTAAATGTTTAATGCAATTTTAAAAAGATATCCTCTATAATTATGTGTGTTGATTTATGTTCGCGGTAGTAGCGCTACGCTGTGTACATATAACACTTAATATAACATCACATTATTTTCTGTCTTATATCCTTTCATTATAGCGTGTTTCATCATATAATAGTTAAGCTCTATTAAACAGCTGTCACTAGCAATTCTTGTTAGCGAGACTGAAACAATTTATTAGGATAATGATCTCAGCCATATTCCCCGCCTGATTTTCGCCGAGAATGACTGGACACGAGGCCTAGACGTGGGACTAATACTTATGAAGACTAATATTTATAAAAACTAGCAGGATCACTGTTAAATGGCATAAACCACAATGTAAAATTATGGTTGGTATTTGCTTTAATCAATTGCTTGATGACTCCGTGGCGCAGATGCACAGGTATTGGTTTCGTTCTTTTAAACAAAACTTAAATTAACGTAACTATCCAGTCCTGTCACCGTGTGATTGCCAACGTAAAAATTCGAGCTATAATACAATTGAATTTATATAAATTCATGCAAAATGTCAAAAAAAACTTTACAGAACGTGAAAAAAATGAACTTTTATCCATAATAAACAAGTAACTATTATAAAAAGAAAGAATCCATATTATTTATTAACTTTTGAATTGGATATTGTATTTTTTCTAATCACATGATATGTTCGCATAATAATAAATAATAAATAGGTAATAGAACACATGAATGTCCTAACAACGTATTAGGGAATTATGTTTATTTTTAATAAAAACTAAGATTTTTGATAAATAACATTTTTAACCAACGATTGATCATCTAAATTGACAGATTACTTAATAAAACTTTTGACAGCTCGTTGACCACCGAAAAACGCTTTCAGAAACTCGATTTTTTGTTGATTGTCCGTTAATCAGTGACTAATTGCAAATCAAAATCAATGTTGTTTAAGACGTTCTAGCAACTCAGATCATGTTAAACAACGATTGACAAGAGATTTAGCGTAAATTAAAATTGATTGCGCTTTCGGAAACTGGGTGTTAGTGTTTCATTTCTAGTGTGAAAATCAATCTCAATTAAAATCGATTATAACTTTGTTATTGCGTCGTAAGGGCATTTAAGCGAAAAAGGCGAAGCTAATTTAAATATAAGCGAAGTCGGATGAACTGAACTTCCGAAAGTTAATTCTCAAATCTTACGGAAACCGTGCATTAAATTTCACGATGTTAATGATGATTTCGGATGTTTAACCGAGCGCTTAAGCACTGGTGTACCAGATGTAGCTTAAACTTCAATCATGTAGGAAGCTTCAATTCAGGCGTAAAGCTTTTATTAATTCCTCTTTCATGCTTTAACAACCTTAATTTAAAATTAAACTTCAAATACTGTGTACTTATGATATTAAGAATGCAGGTCTCCATACTGTAAACGACTGACATTCTCTCTTGTTTTTTTCATACAGCAAAATCGTAATAAATTATATGACCGTGCAAAGTTGTGTAGCAGCTTCCAGTAAAAGCTTTCAAATCGATTTATTTATTCTGTTCTCGGATGCCGAAGATTAATATTTTGGCGAACCACTAATGGAGAACGGGGCTGTACATTATGTTAATATCTTACCGAGCTGTTTTCGAATGCCAAGTGGTTGCCGACTGCGCCAGAGTGAATTGATGAGCGTCGGGTCTCCACGAGTGCGCCAATCGCGGTAACCTCTCCCTCTGGAATACTGACTGAATCTGTGTACAAACACATGCTAATGACTGTACGTTCGGAGGTCAGGTGCAAAAGCGGTGCCACTGAATATCGTCCACGGTAACAACTGTACGTTTGCTTTCGAAGATACCTTGCGGCGTCATATATATCATCTATTGTCATGGTGTCCACTTTTGTTGTTAGAGAAAAGCGAAACTCTTCGATACTGAAGCTAGCGATTCATACATATTGAGGTAACTGGTTGAAGCTAAGAAGCGAAATTGAATTGTTAGCGCATTCCGTCTCAAGGACATTCCGATAGTTTATCGTGCATGGCGCCTAGTCCTACTGGAGGTGTTACATGCGAATACAAGTTCACTAGTGATGAGATCATCTTATAACGGTAAAGCAAAATGTTGGCACCGCGAAATCGATCAGTGTTCTATAAAATGATTTACATCAATATGATAAGTATTATAAAAAATTGTCAAATATTACTTTTGTTCACTACCATACCATAAAAAATAGATATAGATAGGGAGGGGCATTGTAAAATGTCCGTGAAAGTTTAAAACAATTCAATTTCGCAAGTGTCTCTTGTGTTCAATAACGATTATTTCGCCGGACGCTTATTTATCTCACACTCATAATTCTATAATATCACTCAACACAAAAAAAATACTTATACATTAGTAATTGGATTAAATTTTAATGTATCACAGTAATCATTAAAGTACAAAGTCCGTTGTGTAATGAGGATTAAATACTTACGTTACAACAACTATAATGTGTCAAACGTGCAAGTAAGATCACTTTCATGCAGCATATCTAGGCCTACGTTATTTTACTTTACCGATCGGTAATACTCGACGGTTTAGCAATTACGATGTCTGCATTTGTTTCCTAAAATATTTATAAAAATTAGGCGTTTACTGCATACGTATCGACTATATAACAAGTTACTTACATAGTCTCGTCGCACCCATTTCGTTGCGGATCGTAAAATATGAAATACATAATATGTCTTAGTAATACATACGGTTAAAGAAATAATAACAATCAAAACAACACAATGAAAGGAATGTCGTACAGTTAATAAATTTCAAATAAATTATTCATAAAATGTAATAAAAACTCAGGTATAATATTGCCAATATTTCAAATAAGGATACTATTGTGTGTAGTTTATGTTGGGCAAGGAACTTCATTGGATTTGTCATGGGGGTTGATTTCAGCGTTTCTAAATTAGGGTGTTGTGTCTAGGTGCGTCTAACCATTTTGTGATTATTTATTATACGTTGGTACCTTAAATTTACGTTTAAAGATTGTTGTTATTTAATTCATGCTGCTTATGAGGGGTCATTATTTAAATACACCATTTGTTGTTAGTCAGAAAAATTCGGTTAACTGAAACAGTTTGAGAATCTTTATGCTCATTAAATAGGTAAATAGGTGATCTTTATTGTTAATACCGTGGAGATTTAATTTACATAGTAAATACTATGCCAGACCATCTACATTTTTATGAGATCACATGGCTTCTTGCTAAAATAATTCCTATAAATAAAACTATGAGCATTACAAGATTTCGAAGCTACATAATACGTTGAGATTCAAATAAATTCAACTCAGAATTATTACCGCGAATAAATTGGCTCATTTGAGTAATGTACGAAATTGTGATTTGTCCTCAGGACCCTTTATCAGCTAGGGCTGCCTTTTCATTTTTCTTTAATACCGAATTTACATGTACATTAATTGAATTGGGCCGAATAATTTGGCAGCATGAGCAAGTACTATTTTTATGTGAGGAGGAAGTATTCATGAGTCTAGATTCAGATCCACTTTAATGGCGACATTTGATTCTTGTATTCTTGAAAATGCCTATTTATTGTAATTACTTTCGAAATAAGAATCGATAGGTTTCGTTATTACGTGTCTATAGGTAAACTGTCTACGACAACATTAGGAAGCCAAACACATTTATATTGCGTTGTCCGCCACGTGCAGAAAGAAATGTAGTTTTAAAGGTTCTCTGTAGGAAATCAATAGAACAGTAAATATGAATGGGAAGGATTTGGAAATGATTATAGCAGGAACGATGATTGGAGTGGATTACCTTTACAATGCCGGAAATCTCAAATACGACTCCAATACGTTGAGTGATAAAGATATCATAAAGTTGCAGATTTTTATTGTTCGAACGCAATTTTTAAGGATTATTAGCAAGAACGTACACATAAACGGAACTGTGGAAGTATAGCGAA